ATTATTACAGTCTTGTATGGATTTATGATCTGAAGATCAAAAGTGTAGCTTGGACATTCTTTCAAAATACTATAATCCAAATACTACAACAAAGTACTATTTCACTATAATGCAATGTGAGGACTTTAAAAGAAACAGGATATTTACTGGGAATATGTCCTTAATCTATAATAAATGCAACGTATCACACAAATGCAGTCTTGGAGCCATTATATTTTTGTATGATCTAATAATAATAATAATAATAATAATAATAATAATAATATTCTTATTTATTTTAATTTGGGACTAGAAGTATATAAAATGTATTTAAATTATCATATTTAATAATATAATATTAATTGTTAATACATTTTTTTTACATTCAAGAAAGAAATGAGAAAATAAATTTAAAAAAGAAAGAAAGAAAGAAAGAAAGAAGAAAAAGAAATGGGAAGGAAAAGTAGGGAAAAAGAAAAAAGAAATGAAAAGAAAAAAGGGAAAAGAAATAAAGAAATGGAAAAGAGGGGAAAAAGAAAAGGAAGAGAGAAAAAATAAACTAAGAAAAAAAGAAACAAAGGAAGAAAGAAACAAAGAAAGAAAAAAACAAAGAAATGGGAAAAAGTAAAATATAGAAGAAAAAAAATATTAAAAAAATAAATAAATTTAAAAAATGAAAAAGAAAACCAGGTAAAAGAAAAAAAGAAATGGAAAAAGAGGGGTAAAGAAAAAATGGGAGAAAGAATGAATGAAAAAACTGGGTAAAAAAAGGAAAAAGAAATTTTAAAAACTAAAGAAGAAAAAGAAAGGAAAAAGTAGTAAGAAAAAAGAGAGAATAAGAAGCATAGGAAAAAGAAAGAAAAAATAAAAAAAGGAAAAAAGAAAGAAGCAAGCAAGAAAGAGAAAAAATAAATAATGGGAAAGAAAAATAGTGGGGGGAGAAAGAAAGAAAGAAAGAAATTAGGAAAGAAAGAAATAAAGAAAAAAATTAGGAAAGAAAGAAAGAAAGAAAGAAAGAAAGAAAGAAAGAAAGAAAGAAAGAAAGAAATTAGGAAAAGAAAAAGGAAAAAGAAATTGGAAAAAAAAACTAGAGAAAAAATAAAAGAATGAGGATAAAGAAAAAAGTAAGAAAGAAAAGGAAAAATACATACATGTGGAAGAAAAAGGGAAAAGAAAAGAAAGAAAGAAAGAAAGAACGCTTCAGAAAGAAAAGAGAAAAAATAGCGAAAAAGCAAAAAAAGAAAAGAAAAAGAAAAACAGAGAAGCAAGAAAAAGGAAGAAAGAAAGAAGGAAAGAAAGAAAGAAGATAAAGAAAGAAACAGATAATGGAAAGAAAAAAAGAGGAAAGGAAAAAATAGAAATAGGAAAAAAGAAAGAAAAGCAAGCAAGAAAGTGGGAAAATAAAGAAATGATAAAAACAAAAAGAGGGAAAAAGAAAGAAAGGTGTCATGCATATTCATATTTATACAATAATCAATCAGAGATTGGCCACGCCCCACTGAACAGAAAACCAATCAGGATCCTCCATCAAGGATCCTGCTGTATTAAGCAGAACAACATCCTGCAACATCTCTTACACTTCAGTGTTTTCCAGAACAGAAAGCTCTGCAGAACCTGCTGCTCCAGAACTGCCAACACATGCACAGATCAATACATTACACTACAGTACAGATCAATACACACACACACACACACACACACACCGCACAATCATATCAAGCTTATAGCCTGTAAATTAGATTCACACACAGCACAAAGAGAGCCCGAGCAAACACCATTTACCCCCCAAAAAACTCAAAAGAAAAATCATTAAAATTTCTATTTGGCTCTGACAGAAACAGACTGAAATAAAAAGGAAAGGAGAACTCTTAAAAAGCAAAATCTCAACAACTTTATTATTCCTTATTGAATTATTGACTGAGACTACACCATCTACAACTGCAGCTCTGTGCTCTTACTTTACTGCAACTACTGTCTCGTGTGGTGTTTCTATTCTAGTAGAACCTCTATGCTGCACTACATATGCTTTTCACATCGACATCACAATGTGGACATCAGTAATAGTCATATCACAGATTACAATAGAGGAGACATTTCTTTCTTTCTTGTGCCACGGGACCCGACCAGATTTCTATCGGCACAGGAATACATTTCTGAATAAAGCGTGTGAGAGGTCAGTAACTGATGTGTTTTTGGATGCAGACCTCTAGATGAAACCATTTCAGCAAGACGATGATCAAAACACAGCCAAGGAGACTCTCAGATGCTTTCCAGGGCTCAACAATAAGGACTGCCCGGTGGCCCCGGGCCAGTGTGAGAGACACTTGGGACAGTAGACTGGATCATTACTGGCCCGATTGGGACGGTGCTGCCTTGTCACTAACATTTAATTTGTCAATTGTTTGCATTGTGCTTTTAAGTCTTTAAACACTACCTTCCCTGTGATGTCGTAAACACCATATTGCTTTCCGGTTCCTCTTATCTGATTGATTTGATCATGCTATTTTTTTTTGTAACCTGGTAACCAGTACAGTGTAGAAACAGCAACATGGAGACAACATCAAATTATAAGGCTAAAAGAAAATGTCTGTTTCTAACGTCTTGGAAGTAGACATTTACGTGGAAACAACACGACAAAATAAAAATGAAGTGATGTTATGCATAGTTTGTCGTCAGTTTGACAAGTCAGCCACCTATTGTTAAATAATTTCAAACCGCAATAAAATACCTGCACATTAAGCTAATAACTTCTCCCTTTTTTTTGGTGGGGGCAGTGAAAATTTTGGCAGGGCAAATAAAAATCTGAACCACTTGCCCAATCGGACCAGTAGAAAAAATCATAGCGTTGAACCCTGTATTCAGAGAAAGAAGATCAAGCTGTGGAATGGCCCAGCCAATCACCTGATCCGAATCCAATAGAGAATACAGAATAAAGCTCAGATTTGATACTCACAAAAGCATCCAGATTTTGACACTCAATGCATGAGAATTCATTCTCCATATGAGAGGCGTCTTTATCACAAAAAATATTATTTTAAATAAATAAAGTATTAAATAAATTTCAGTAGTTCAGCTTTCTCCTGTCAGTCTATTGTAAAACACAGAATTCATATTTCAGATTTATTTGTTGTGTTTTATTTTATTTCTCTTCTAGTTTTTGCCTTGAATCTGCTTCAATTCCCTGTCAACAGCTGCTTTAGAAATATTACTCTCAGGAAAAAGCATCACATGTTCAATATTTATTTTCCCCGCTGTTTAAGAACAAACTATTGCAATGTGACTTTTTTCTAATATTGCGCATCCCTACTCCAAACGAAACATCGGAGGGAAAGCTGAAGCTTAAATAGTTCTCAAAAGAGCAACTTCTGAACTGTAAAATCATCTTCTGGGACGCCACACAACCACATCACATTAATTCAGCCTCTTCCAGTTGGATTTCCTCAGCAGAACTACGTTTAAACTAGCAGATAGTGGGAAACTCTGCTGGATGTGTTTAAAAGGAAACGGAGGCTCCAGTCAGAGCAAACTGTGAAGGCCAGGCTTAAATCGAAGCCTGCTGTTCAAACACACACTAATCCTGCTGTTAGATTCATAGCATAGTGTGAAGGTTGACTGCAGCATGCTGACCTGCGTCCAGGAGAGAAAAACCAAGAGCACGGAAAACTGATCCCAGAACTCATTCACTCCCAATGTGCTGACACACAAATCCATTCAGTATGATTAAAAAAAAGAGCATCCATCCTGCCATTTGTGCTGTTTGAGAATAAACAAACTTTCAGAATTTGACAAATACAGTTGAAAGCAGAAGAATGTACATACACTGCATAAAAGGCGCATAACCATTTTTAAAAAAGGTCAGATGTTAATGAGAATAAACTTTTTCTCTTTTAGGTAAGTTAAGATGATCACATGTGTTTCTGTTGTGCTTAATAGCAGAATAATGAGAGATCGTCATTAATATTTTATAATTATTAGACATTCATTTTGGAATTATTGCACACAAATATAAATGTCATCTCAGCATTAGTTAGATAGTTGTTTCTGTTTTTTGTTAGTCCTAATTGATGTTGTTTTAAAATACAATTAATTCCTTTTAAAATACAATTTGCAGCGGTGCTCAATTATTTTTCTGGTGCTCCTTAATTTTTTCTGGTGCTCCTAAATATTTGAAGTTGGGAGCACCGGTGCTACCAAGTAAAAAAGTTAATTTCGAGCCCTGTATATATATATATATATATATATATATAAATAATTTATGTGAAGAAACATTTTCTCAAATTTATGCATGCATGTGCGCATTTATATATACACATAATAAATATACACAACACACACACTTAAATTGTCAAAACAAACTTTTATTTTAAATATGATTAATTGCAATTAATATTATATTTAGATGGCCCATATTCTTCTATATAATAAGAATAAAAATAAAATAAATAATAATAATAATAATGAAATTATAATTAAGTAAATTAATAAATAAATGAATGAATAAGTAAATATTAGTATTTAGAAGCATATGGAGCATAATATAGTCTAAGGTATTTAATATTTGATTATTTATTAATGCATGCAAGCCTACACAACAATCATATTTTACACTCTGATAAAAAGTGGCAAATGAAAAATGATTTTTGCATTGCTCATCTCCACTATCATTTAACGTTTTTTCTTTCTTTTAGATTTATTTTTGGCATTTTTGCCTTTATTAAGTGGATAGGACAGTATTTCAGAAAGAAAGTGAAGTGGGAGAGAGAGAGGGGGGATAGAGACAGGAAATGTCCTCGAGCTGGGATTCAAACTCGGGAGGCTCTGAAGTGCTACTGCATCATATGTCAGCGTGTTAACCGCTAGGCTATTGCACAGATTATTTTCAAATGCATTATTTTGATCAGCCATTAAAGTTGATCTTTGAGGTCCTCACACTGTCACATCCTCCACGATGCCACAACATTGCACAGCTTTAAGACGTGTTTTTTAAGCACTGAATATGAAATGCTGGTGACTTTTCCTACCTGCTACTGTGAGTCGTGCGGTGCGGCTGCTGATGGTGCCCAGATTGTCGATGGTGGCCACGCACTGGTACACCCCCTCATCAGGCTTATTGTGTTTGGAGTGGACCACCGTACTGATGAGCAGAGAGCCGTCTGCTAGCTGCCGTCTGCGGTCATCCGCCACCAGGTTCAGGAACGTCCCGTCTTTCTTCCACTCCACCCGTACTGGAGCGTCGCTGATGGCTGAGCAGTTTAACACAGCGGGAAGACCGCGGACCGCCAGAACATCCACAGGTTCAACAGAGAATCTGAACGGGGTGAAGCCACGGATGGCAGAGCCTGGGGAAAAAGAGAGATGAATGAGTTAGGGATGCGTTTACGCCTGTAGATGGACTGTTTTGCTCTGAAACAGGGATTCAGATTGTTGCAATGTTTATTTTTGTTCTTGATGCAGTTCACTTCACATGGCAAAGTTTCTAAACAGATCAGTGGTATTTACCATCAATACCTCTGATATAGGCCGTTATATCTAAAGAGGAAACGATCACACTGCGATCGTTAGACTATTAGGGGCCCTATCATACACCCGGCGCAGTGTGGCGCAAGGCGCGGCGCAATAGTCTTTTGGTAGTTTCAGCTTGGCGCAAGAGTGGTTTTGAGGCGTTGCGCTACGCTGTTTAAATAGCAAATGCATTAGCGCTCATTTGTGCGCCCATAGGTGTTCTGCTCTAAAAAGGAAGGCGTTCTGAGGCGGACCGCTGGCGCGTTGCTATTTTGAGAAACTATAATAGATTTCTCATTAGACCAAAACTAACCCGGTCTAAACTCCAGCGCAGAGTTGCACCTCGCTTACACACTGCTTAATACACACAAGAGAGCAATAGGCAAATATCTTTACATATGAAAAAATTTATATATATTATTTAAATTTATATATTATATATAGTATATAATAAGAATAGATATAGGATATAAATATAAAGGATTAAAATATTACAAAACATATTATTTTCTAGCCTACATAAAGATGAAAAATCACTGCTTTTATGTCTTCTTCATCTCGGGAGGCTTTTTCAGTTCATTCATAACAATTTGCTTTTGGATAATGTTATTATTATTAGCAGTATTATTTATTATATCCATATTTATATTTGTTTTATTAAAAACTAGCTTAGATTTGTCCACCTGTCAGGTTTTAGACCATATAGAGCACAGCATGTGTTTTAGGATATAACTCAGGTTTTTGAGCACATTTTGTTATTATTATTCATTTATTCGTTTGCTGGAAATTAAAACTAAATTTAGAAATAGTTTTGAAACGAACATTTGCACTTAACAAACAAAATAATTTATTTATAGACTAATTGATGTCTGTGTGTAAAGGTTTCCCTATCCAAGAGCGAAAGTAAAAAGTAGATCCATTATCTCTCATTTTCACGCAGTAGATGCTCTGTTTAACAGTTTTCTGTTAAAAAACTGTGAACTGTTTGCTAGTGAAATGCTCATTTTTTCCACTTAGACTTACTTTACGTCCTGTAAATAGCGAATGCGCTTATGGTGTGACGCAGCTGGCTCTTAAAGGGAATGGGAGATGAGACTCTGATTGGTTTATTCTCAAAACACACCTATAACTCATTAAGAAAATAAACTCGACCCTTTTAGACCATGTGCCACAGTGCAAAGTGGATTTTCCCATCCTTAAATTAGCAAAAATGCGTTCTGACACGCCCTGAAAGCGTTTGCACCCTGCAAATGGACCATCAAAATAGAGCCCTAGACGTTTAATGTAAAAGATGGATTTTAAAGCACCACATTTGCACACAACAATAAACCAGCATCAAATCTGAACTCACCCTCTCAGAAATGCGAGATTACAGCTTTTTTTGTCATGTTCTTTTGTTGGCTAAGTGATTTTGATTCTGAACATTCATAGGTTGAGTCGCTCACCTTTCTGCTATGCAAAAAAATACAGCTGGGAAAAAAGTTCTAAACCAACATAATTGCTTAACGCTTACAGTGACGTATAATTAAAAAACAGAACCGCATTCAGCCACCAACCCGCATTGTTCAGACAGCACTAATGGCCAATTATCTGCACCAGTGGTGTTGTGCGAAAACAATTACGGCAAGACTTTGCGCAAGTGAGCTGCTTCGTACTTTAATTACGTAGGAAATGACAAGCTTCTTGTGTTCGACACAAGGCGCAGCATATATAACAATCTGAGACAGAAGCTAATGTGTTTGCTGCTTGCCTGTCATGCAAGCTAATTTGGTACCAAAAATATGCTTTCATAAGTAGGCTACCTGAGAAACAGATGCAAAAAAGACATTAATGCCATAAAACCACTCGCAGATTAGCTACTTTAATAGCTGCACATAATTCCTTTATTGGCTCAATTTTCAACGTTAAGCAAGACTAAAGATGGATAACTAAAGGCATTCACTCTGCATTGTAAAAATAATATATACACTATAGTGACTTGCAGACTGCTAACTTACAGTTCTGAAACACATTACAGGAGTTTGACCCTTGCTCTGTCAACTTTTGAGGTAGAAAACTCAACTTAAAGCAACTTTTAACTATATTTTAGTAGTTGATATATTGTATTACAAGTATACAGTTAAAGTCAAAATTATTAGCCCCCCCTGAATTATTCGCCCCCGTTTATTTTTTACCCTAATTTCTGTTTAACAGTGAGATTTCTTCAGCACATTTCTAATCATAATAGTTTTAATAACTCATTTCTAATACCTGATGTATTTTATCTTTGCCATGATGACCGTAAATAATATTAGACTAGTATTCTTCAAGACACTTCTATACAGCTTAAAGTGACATTTAAAGGCTTAATCGAGTTAATTAGGTTAACTAGGCAGGTTAGGGTAATTAGGCAAGTTATTGTATAACGATGGTTTGTTCTGTAGACTATCAGGAAAATATATAGCTTAAAGGGGCTGATAATATTGACCTTAAAATGCTTTTTAAAAAAATAAAAACTGATTTTATTCTAGCTAAATTAAACAAATAAGACTTTCTCCAGAAGAAAAAATATTATCAGACATACTGTGAACATTTCCTTGCTCTGTTAAACATCATTTGTTTTGTTTTGTTACGGCCATGTTTTCTTTATCCAAGTTAGGCTGCTTTGATACAATCTACATGGTAAAAGTGCGATAGACGTAACAAAATGAACCGAATTGAAATAAATGAAAAAATGCCACAAAACAAAAATCACAAAATACAAAAAAACTTTTAATTTACATATTTTTTTACAGAAAAGAAAGAAAGAGAAAGAGAAAGACAATAAGAAAGAGAGAAAAAGAAAGAAAGAAAGAAAGACAGAGAGAAGCAAAGGAAAGAAAGAAAAAGATAAGAGAAGCAAAGAAAGAAAGAAAAAGATAATAGAAGCAAAGAAAGAAAGAAAGAAAGAAAAAGATAATAGAAGCAAAGAAAGAAAGAAAGAAAGAAAGAAAAAGATAAGAGAAGCAAAGAAAGAAAGAAAGAAAGAAAAAGATAATAGAAGCAAAGAAAGAAAGAAAGAAAGAAAGAAAGAAAAAGATAAGAGAAGCAAAGAAAGAAAGAAAGAAAGAAAGAAAGAAAGAAAGAAAAAAAGGAATGAAAGATGATAAGAGAAGCAAAGAAAAAAGACAGAAGAAAGAGAAGCAAAGGAAAGTAAGAAAAAGATAAAAGCAAAGAAAGAGAAAAGAAAAGAAAAGAAAAAGAAAAAAGAAACAAGAAAGAAAGAATAAAGAAAAGCAAAGGAATGAAAGATAAGACAAGCAAAGAAAAAAAAGAAAGAAAGAAAGAGAAGAGAAAAAAGAATTAGAAAGAAAGAAAAGAAAGAAAAACAAGAAAAAATAAAAGCAATGGAATAAAAGATGATAAGAGAAGCAAAGAAAAAAGAAAGATGAAAGAGAAGCAAAGAAAGAAAGAAAGATGAAAGAGAAGCAAAGAAAGAAAGAAAGATGAAAGAGAAGCAAAGAAAGAAAGAACGAGACAAAGCAAGACAGAAAGAAAGAAATCGAAAAAAAACTGAATAAAAAGTAAAAAAGAAAAAAGAGAAGAAAAATAAAGAAATGGATAAGAAAAAGAGTGGGGGGAAAGAAAAAGAGTAAGAAAAGAAATAAAAAAGAAGAAAGAGCAAAGAAAAGTTGAAAAAGAAAAAGGTATTAGATTAAAACGAACTTTACTAAAGAAACAACTCTTGCTTTATTGACCTTATGCTGCAATGTGGACGTGCGCTCGCTTTTATGATGATTGTTTTATTCTTCTGATTCAGTCGCTTGTGAGAAATGACTACAGGAATAATAAAAGCCAGAAAACGATCAAACAACTCGCTCAACTAACAAATGTCCATGACTGTACAGAAAAAGTAGAAGAATATAATCAGAATACATCCATTTCCAACATCAAGCTGCAAAACAAGCCGATTTTAACATTTAAAAATGAATAGAAATAAGAAGAGCTAAAAAGCGCTCAGATCTCCTGACATGCAAACTTGTGTACTTGTTTCCTCTACAAATCTAAAAAAAGGCCCCATGCAAATGCAGAGGAAACCCGCAGTCGCAAACTAATTGTAGAGCAGCCAGCTGGGAAACATTTGGAGTAACGTGGCCAAACGTGCCCCTGTTTGTGGCTTTGGATGTTTGTCCCGGGCTGGATGCGAGTAATCGGATGGAGTCCAGAATTGCTGTTGGAGGGCAGCAGTGATGCATCCTTGACCCAGAAGCCCCGAGACAGCCAGAAAATGAGCCTGTTGGGTTGATAAGTATAAGCTGTTAGCCTTAGTCTGCGCACTTTGAGGAAAAACCCACTTCAAAAGCGCCTCAGTCAGCGAGACCTCTCAAAACAGGGGCAAGGGCTCTCCAGGGAAATAGCACAGTAGTGAATGAGAGGGGAAGAGAGATATACTGACACATACAAAGACTGAAAGAGGAGCAGAAGTGGCCTAGAACGGCTGAGGAGGGGAAAGTGGCGGAGGCGCAATAACAAAATCAAGGGAAATCGGTTAAAGTGTCACATACGATTCTCTTTCTTCATCTAATGGAGCATGACAGGCCTCAGATTGAGAAACTTGCATTGTGGGAATGCACACGAGCGGCGCTTAACGGACCAACAGATGGTGGAGGAGCAGAGTTTAAGAAGATATTTGAACATCCGGTCTTTAAGGACAGTAGAAAAATCGTATATTAATAATTAGCAGTAAAGTCTGTAATAATGATTATATTATTAAAAATAAAGTCTGCGTGAACTGGAAGTTGCAGATACTTTTATCTACATTATTAAGTATGTTGATGTACTTATGAACTGAATATTAAGTAGGGGCGGGGCTTTCTTT